AGACCAGATGGGCGGGATACAAATCAAATAAATAAATAAATAAAGGACACCTGTACGCCCATATCACCAGCCATTTTGGATAAGCTAGGGAATACATGGGACAAAGTTTGTGTAGATCACTTTGAGGCTTGTCTTTTTCAGGCAGCAACATTGATAGCATTTTTGGGAGGCCCTCCAGGTAAGTGAATTAGTGGCAGTGGCAAAAAGTGATGCATCCCTATCCTCTTTGCAGAAGAAGGATGCAGTGGTGTCAGATGAGCAGACTGCCATCCACTTAACGTAGGTCAAAAAAACGGATCAGTGAGGGAAGGAAGGGGAAGATTATTGTCGTAGGATGGTGTTCCATAGAGGGGATCTGCCCTGTGAAGGCTGTGCAAATATACCTACGTCTCAGGAAAGATGAGGAGGGAGGATTTTTGTACACAAGGATGGGACGCCACTGATGAAATATCAATTCTCAGGCCTTCCGCAAGGTCAAGATACAGGGGTGGCGATTTGGGATCCATTCTTTTTGTATTGGTGCCACATCTATGGCAGCACCCCGGGATATGGAGTTGAGGATATTAAAAGAGTGGGGAGGTGGTCATCCCACAGATACCGTTCCTATGTGCAACCTCTACCACAGTTTTAGGTCCTGTCTTGTTTGTATTGTTATGTCATTTCAGGTCCTAAGTTGCCATTGTCCCAAGTTCGAATTATGTTATGCGGTCACAGTTACATGTTTTGGGCAGACAGATATGCCGGTTGGACAAGTTGGGGTTGGAACTTGGGACTCGGAGCAATGGCTGTGCCCAGATGGAGGGGCCAAAGAGGCATGCTCTGGGATGAAATATCAATTCTGGAAAGTGAATTAGCATCCCAGGGTACTCCGGATGTGATCCCCTGATATTTTGTTGATCCATCTTGGAGGCAATGATTTGGCCCAAAGATTGGGCAAATCTTTGATTATACAGGTGATTGTTGACTTGAGGGCTTTTGCTGCACAGTACCCAGCAACACATATTGTGTGGTTGGCAATTATCCCACAGTGTGTATGGAAAAGTGGTTGTGACCCAAGGTGTATTGATTGGGCCCTGAAAGGAGTCAACAAGGAAGTTGGCTGAGCCATTAAAGAGGGCCTGTGATCCATTATAACACATCCTAACATCAGGTTTAGCCAGCCTTGGTTATACAGGGTGGATGGTGTACACTTACCGGGCATGGGGCTGGGTGTTTTCTTAAGGGATTTACAAGGTAAATCTCCTCACGCACAAGTTGTTGGCTTGGTGAGAGGCAAGGGGCAAACTTTGTAGCTCCTATGACGTGGTGGGTAGTGCAAAAATAACAGGTACGAGTGAGTTCCAAAGGGGGCACACAGGAGGTGCAAGACCCTTCTCCTCTCTGAAAGGAATTAGCAGAGGTTTAGATGAGGGGAGAGTAAGCAGGGGACCCCAGGGGATGATGGGCACTTTGGGCCAGGAGCACCACCTGAGGGTACTCCAACTATTTGAGGAGTGAGAGTGCACTGTACACTTCTGGAAGAGGAACTCCCTAGGGCATGGTCTGGACCAGAAGGGTAAGCTTGACCCTGGTTACAGACCTGTTTTTGCACTACGGTAGGCCCCCTTGTGAAAGGGGAAGTTCAGGTTAAATAGGTTAATAAAGTTGTGGCTCTAGTTACCCCATGCACTGTGTCTGCCTCTTATTCCAGTCTGGGTGGGCAAAGTAATTGACATCTATGACAAAAAAAGAATTTTTTTTGCAGGAACATGAGGAACACTGCAACAAAGAACAAGCATAGAAGCTGCTGAACTGGTTGAGATGAATGGGCTATTTTGCCTCACATTTCACAAACCTCCACCATGCGGTGTGATCCATGATAAAGGAGATATTTATTCTGGACATTTGCTTATCTCTATGAAAACATAACCATATGAGTGAGGTTCCTGTTTACACAATCCATTTCTGACTATGCATACATTTTCTATCATATGGAACTCACTTTGATGAAAATAATGGATGGAACTAGATTATTGTTGTTTTCCTTGACAAATCTTGTAGAAGGAAGTGGAATGTTGGGTTTTCCAATTCCTTTTTCATGCAATACGATATACAGATGTTTGTGTAACAGGACTATTTTTCTTAAAGTTCCTTCTATTGACAATGTTTATTTATTCTTGGGGATGATTAACAGAAACCATATTCCTGAGTGTCTAAACTGCAGTTTGGAGCTGTTGTTACGGACCATCAAATCATTTCTTACTTATGGTGATCTTAATAGGGTTTTCAGAGTACATGAGATGTTCAGTGGGTGGTTTAAAATTGCCAGCCCTCAATGACTTTCCATGTCCAAGCAGGGATTTGAACCCAGACCTTTTAATCTGACACTGTTCTATTGGATCACTTTGGCTGAAACTCAATCCTAGAAGCTAATTTTAAATAATATTTTGAAACTCCAAACAAGCCTATGATCTCCACATCTTAATGATGTCTTCTGCCTGTATGGATGTGACTACTTCATTCTGATGTATCCACTGAGGGGTAGAAAAATAGTAGTCTGTGGGCTGTACAGGGCCCCCATAGCCCAAGTGCAGAAGGCTAGCACCCTTGGTAACCCAGTCATCCCAATTTTTTTAAAAAGACCTACATAACATTCCCGCCTATTCTGTGAAAGTTTTAGAGACAGTTTTTCCAAAACTGGAAGTGCAAGATTGTCTGAGAGCACAAAACTGTCTTTCATCTGTTATGTCTGGAGTTCTGCACCCCTCTCTACTTTTGGGAGGCCCCTCTAAAGTGCAGCACATTTGTAAGCAAGTGAAAGCTTGTTTGTCAGAGCAAGCTTTTAGTGATGTAAGAGAATTTGTGTGCATTTCTGTTAAAGTGTGGTACCCTTATTTTCTATGAAGAGAAATGCCCATTAGATACTAAGAGATGCAGGGTCTTCAATGAAGTGATGAAACAAAATCCAGAACTTACAAGAGAGTGATACCTTTATTATTGTGGACCAATTAAAATGATACGATTCCAACATTCCAAAATCCCGAAATTCTACAAGAGTGCAAGCTTTTGAGTTGTCAAGAACTCTTCCCTGGGATATTGTTTGGTACAGTATTTTTTTAAAAGATGGAGGATAAATAGCAATACAGTATCAGAAAACTTTGCAGATAAATTATCTGGATGGGAAGAGAATATATGTTACTTATCTGGAAAATGATGTCACCATCCATGTCAATCAGCTAAGATGCTTGCTTTTCTCAGTGTTCTGTTACTCCCATAGATATAATTATGTATGTTTTTATCAAAGTACTTGCATTTCTGCTCTTATTATCTGACTGAAATGCTAGTAAGGATACTTTCTTTCAATTCTCTGCAAGAAATAGGAACCCTATTGTGTTGTTCTTAAATCTTGACTTCTCCGCAAATGATAAGAGGAGCATCTTAGCGCTGCCTTTTCCATTGCCCTTACTTTCATCCCATGACAACAGGAGTCTGAGGAGAGGGAGGCTCTTCTGTTGAGGCAGGCTCTCCATAGAAGCCAGGATTCCATTTGCATGTGTGTTTACAGTATGTGTGATGTGGCTCATGGCAGGAGCCTGCACAAAGAGAACAACACCCCCCTCTTCAGACTTCTGCGTTCATGTAATAAAGATGATGGCAGAGGTGGCAGAACTAGCTTGTTCCCTACATCATTGTGAAAGCCACACACCTTAAGAAGACATAGGCTCGAATTGGGACATAATCCCAATCAATGCAAAAGTCCAGCAATGCGGATAAGAAAGCAAAGTAATATGCTGTCCTCTGAAGATGCCGGCCATGAACTGGGACATAAATCCCAATCAATGCTAAAGTCCAGCAATGCTGATGAGAAAGCAAAGTGATATGCTGTCCTCTGAAGATGCCAGCAACAGAGACTGGTGAAATGTTATGAAGAACAACCTTCAGAACACAGCCAACCCAGAACAACCATGATATGCTTAACTTTCTCCCCATGAAATCAGTTGAGCTTAGAAGAGCTTAAATCTTGTCAGGAACGTATCATTAATATATTCTGCTTCACTCACATTCATTCATTCATTCACTCACTCAGTAAATACCATTCCTTTCTCTTTTCAAAGTGGGAAACATTATAGCTAATAAAATAAATACAGTTAAAACATAAAGCAGCTTGAAGCATCAGACATTTGGGGACATTTTTTAAAACTCTAAGGGGAAAAACGCACTCACCTGAAAGAAAAGCCTTTTCTGCAGCCATGCCAAAAGAAAATTACACAAAGCCCTACTTCTCAGAAAGCTCCCTGTACTAGATAGTTGAGAAGACCAGTGAAACAATGCAATTCAGAGCATGTCAGCATTTGAGATTGAGATTTGGTTAAGATTTAGTGTTTTGTACTGATGGTATTATTTTGGATGTTGGGGTCAGGATAGAAGAAACAGGGAGGGGGCAGGGGAAAGGGACAGGGAAAACAAAAGTATCAGCAAATTGAATTGCCTGAGCTTGCCTATATTTGAGAGCACAATGCTGGGAGTAAAATGCAATATGGCCAGATTTGGCTGCATTAACCATTGATTCCAGTCTTGCCCAGCCCGAGCACAGTACCATTCATCCTCTCAACTTCCCTCAGTTTTTCTTTTCTTTTCTTGCCCAAGCTCATGCATACTGTATTTACTCAGAAGTAAGTGCCCTTAAGTTCACTGACGATGCAATCAGACAGTGATATCAGGTTCATATTGGATTGCACTGGAAATTATCCCTTCTAGGGTGTGATCTTAGAAGGGACCTTTTAAAATCAACATTCTGTCCAGCTCATCTCCCCTCCCCCCCCAAAAAAAGCAGCTTTACCACTGGACCCAAAAGGTCCAGACTGGGCACAGACCAGGGCTGGACAGGTTGATGATCAAGAGTATGTCGTCCGGTTGCAAGCAAGTAGAATAAACCAGACTGTGCTGTCAGCTTTCGACTAGTGAGCTAAATAACCATGCCCCAATTTTCCTGTCAAGAAAATGTGCACAGTAGTGCAGGCCTAATCAGAAACACTCTACAAATTAAGCAGAGGCCATGGGAAAGAGAAAGGGGAATAGCGGAGTGAAGGAGGTCAGGGTGTGGTGGAGGGGGCTAGAAGAGGCCACAGTCCTTCAGATTCTCTTTGATGATGATGTCTGTCACAGCATCGAACACAAACTTAACATTCTGGGTGTCCGTAGCACAAGTCATGTGGGCATATATCTCCTTGTCTTCTTTCCGTAGATTTAGGTCTAAGAACTGGTTCTTAATGTAATTTCCTGCATCTTCAAAAGTGTTGGTTCCTAGTGGGCAAAGACACAGAGGATTGCTCATAAAATATAACGATTCTTTTTAAATGTCCCCCCCTTTTTTTGCTCACACAATTTGTCCATAGGTATCATCCCTTTAAAAAAAGAGCATATAACGCATGTAAACTCCAATGTGCGCCTGAAGGGCTCAAAGGTCCAAATCCTGTCATTTACACCTGTGGAAGGCAAACAACGTAACTCACAATGGCTTCTTGCTGCTAATTAATGAATTCCTTCTTAGGTTGGGGAGGAGGGTAGCATTAGCAGTTTGGGACCATGGACCATCATAGCTCCTGCCCACAAGGGTACCCTACTGGTGGCAGTATTTTAGGACATGGCACCTAAGCCCAAGTTGGAACAAAATAATGTACCTTTTCTGAGTTCTGGAATTGACCAACCAAATGGTCACATAGCAGTGGCTTGAGTAATTGTGAAACATTCAACAGGAAGGCGAGAAGTGGAATGTATAAACTCACCATCGTATTCTGGAAAGCAGACGCTGAGGTGAACTTTGGCAATCTTCTCTTGGAACAGGTCTTTCTTATTTAGAAAAAGCACAATAGAGGTGGCAGCGAAGTACTTGTGGTTACAGATACTGTTGAACAGGTGGAGGCTTTCATGCATTCTGTTCTATTGAAGTGGAGAAAAAGTGACCGTTAGGCCCCATAACTGTCGCTCACTTTGACTCTGAAATACTTTTCCTATCAAGGCAGCAGGGATTCAAGTGATTTAAACCTCCCCAAGGTTATCAGAGCACAGATTGTGAATAAAGTCCCTAATAAACCATCCAAAGTGACATGAAATCCTTTTCAAGTCTTCCCCTCCCCGGTTTCTTTTCTCAGCTGCCACTGTGACTCACCACTTCTTCATCTTCTACCAAGACCATGTCATAGGCACTCAGGGCTGCACAGAATATGATGCAAGTTACCCCTTCAAAACAGTGAATCCACTTTTTCCTCTCCGATCTTTGTCCTCCCACATCAAACATCCTACGTAATGAAACACACAACACAACATCCACTTACTACATATATATTTGTTTCATCATCAACACATGTAAGATCTACTGTAGCATATCAACTAAAAGAAGACACTGTAAGTCAAGAAGCCATAGGTCCTTCACTCCTTTGGACAGCTGTTATCAGCCCTGTATCTCTTTGAGTGTGGAGACACACTATGTGTGATATGTTACGTAGAATTTGGAAATGCTACTTATTCGGACTTCATTCTCAGAATTCCCTAGCCATCACAGCTCTTGATCATGCTGACTGGAGGATTCTGAGAACTGTACTCCAAAAAGTAACTTCTCCAAATGTTGGTACCGTCCGTGTCTACTTATTCGGACTTCATTCTCAGAATTCCCTAGCCACACTGACATGGTTTTCTTAGCTGCTGTTTCATTTTATAGCCATTCTATGATTTTTTCTTAAAAAAGATTGACTTTTACAACACTGGAAAACTTGGAGACTAGTTCTCTTTCTTAATAAAGTTTTCAGGGGACATGGCAATGTTAACACATTCAGCTGAGTTAAGCAGTGGCATTCATAGCCTCAGATCTCTGGGTTGAAGTCCCCAAACAGTGTCACAGCTGTTGCTCCAACATCTTCTCCTCCTCTCCTTTTTTAAAGCAATGTTTAGAGAAGTGGTCCCCAACCTTGGGCCTCCAGAAGTTCTTGGACCTCAACTCCCAGAAATCCTGGTCAGCAGAGGTGGTGGTGAAGGCTTCTGGGAGTTGTAGTCTAAGAACATCTGGAGGCCCAAGGTTGGGGACCACTAATGACTTTGGAGCAAAGTGAGGAGCGGAGGCCTCATAGATCTTATTATCATACAATGTTTAGAGAAGTGGTCCCGAACCTTGGGCCTCCAGAAGTTCTTGGACCTCAACTCCCAGAAATCCTGGTCAGCAGAGGTGGTGGTGAAGGCTTCTGGGAGTTGTAGTCTAAGAACATCTGGAGGCCCAAGGTTGGGGACCACTAATGACTTTGGAGCAAAGTGAGGAGCGGAGGCCTCATAGATCTTATTATCATTGTGGGTTCAGAGTGCAGTCTCTCGAGAAATGTTCTGCACAGAGGGCTGCAAAGACCTCCCCTGTGCCCATGACAGAGAGTGGAAAAGGCAGGCCCAACAAGGCAATGAGGTGAAGGAAACCAAGGGTTTGTTTTCCTGGCCCCAAGGCTTCCTGTGTGATTTGTTTGCAAGGGGAATTGTGATTCCAACAGGCTTCCAGGAGCACATCTTGGAAATAAGCTGCATAGGGACCATCTACATTGTTTTCAGGAAACCAAGGTTCTTTGCTACTGATGTCAAAGAAGCCTTTCTCCTACAAAAATGATTGGGAACCTCACTTACCTTGTGGGCCACATATCATTCACTCCTTCTCTAGAGACCTAACAGGGTTACTTAACACTTAAGACCAGGGTTTCTCATGGCTTCTATACACACCCTAAAACTGTTTAATAGCCATTCTCCCAAAGGCCAAAATACAGTAAAGTCAAAATACAGACAGTGGTAGGTATACAGGAAAGAACTGTCTACAACTAAAGAAGGAAGACATTTAAAAAAGACTGTTGGGACATACATCAAATGCATCTGCAAATCTTGTCTGACAGTTTGTTATTTCTTGGATATTTGCTTGCCTAATGTTGTAAATAACATGCAAAGCAACTTACAAATACTGTCTGATTTGCCTCTATCTCCAACAACAAGAACCACTTTTTAAATATTAGAACTGCAAATCCCTTGCTTGCCCTGTGTTGGTGAATGAGTATCCATTTCTGCAGCCTGATGATGTGGTCAGGACCCTTGGGTTGGTGAGGGCGACCATGTGCCTGCTGGATCCTTGTCCTTCCTGGCTCATAAAAGCCGCCAGAAAGAGACTGGTTGATTGAATAGGAGGAGTGGTGAATGCCTCCTTGCAACAGAGTAAGATCCCATCATATTAAAAGGAGGAAACAGTAAGACCACTGTTTAAAAAGCCTTCTTTGGACCCCAAAATACCGAGTAATTACCAACCAGTATCTAATATCCCATTTTCAGGGAAGGTGCAAGAGCAGGTTGTGGCCTCTCAGCTCCAGAGGTTTCTGGATGAGACAGATTCTCTAGATCCATTTCAATTTGGCTTCAGGCCTGGTTGTGGGGCACAGACTGCTTTGGTCACCTTAGTGGATGACCTATGCTGGGAACTGGATAGGAGATCTGTGTCCCTGTTGGTTTTGCTGGATCTCTCAGTGGCTTTCAATACTATTGACCACAGTATCCTCCTGACCTGTCTCTCTGGACTGGGACTTTGGGGCACTGTTTTACGGTGGCTCCAGTCCTTCCTGGAGGAAATAAATCAAAAGGTAATGCTGGGGGATTCATGTTCAACATTCTGGCCACCAACCTGTGGGGTCCCTCAGAGTTCTATTTTGTCTCCTGTGTTATTCAACATGTACATGAAATTGCTGGGAGAGATTATCCACAATTTGGGGGTTCAGTTTAACCAGTATGCTGATGACACCCAGCTCTACATGTCTTTGCCACCTAAATCTGAAGAAGCTGCTTCAGCTCTAGATTCGTGTTTGGTATCAGTAATGGACTGGATGAGGGTGAATAAACTGAAACTTAATCCAGGTAAGACAGAGGTGCTCCTGGTCAGTCAAAAGATAGATCAATGAATAAGGGATACAACCTGTACTGGATGGGTTTACACACCCATTGAAAAAAAAACATTAGCACAACTTGGGGGTGTTCCTAGATACATCTCTAAGCATGGCTATCCAGGGATCACATAACCTCCACTGGCTGCGAATCAGCTTCCAGGCACAATTCAAAGTGCTATTTTTAAGCTATAAAGCCCTAAATGGCCTGGGTTCAAGCTATCTCAAAGACCGTATCTCCCATTATGAGGTGGTTCGGGTGTTAAAATCACCAGGAGAAGCTTTTCTCTAGGTCCTACCACCTTCCCAGGTGCATCTGATGGGGACATGGGAGAGGATCTTCTCTGTTGCTGCTCCCAGACTTTGGAACTCCCCCCCCCACAGGAGGCCAGATTGACCTCATATTTAGCTGTCCACAAGCAAGCAAAGACCTTTCTCTTCAAGCAAGCCTTCCTCAGTATCTACCTGTGTGTGATTTTTAGATTGATTGCCATGCATTATTGTTCTGACTGCATTTTTACTACCACTTGTCTTTTCCATTTTTGTATTTTTCATTTCTCTGACATTTTTTAAAAAAATGTATATTTATTGTTCTTAGCTTTAATATTGCCTTTTAATTATGTAAGATGCCTCTTTACTCATAGTTCTAAATACTATCTTTTAATGATGTTAACCACCTTTGTGCACTCATCATTTTCAAATACATATGTTGTCTTTCAGTGTTATTAGCCACCATGTGTCTTTTTCAAGCAGAAAGGTGGGGTATGTATAAATAAACGAATGAATGAATGAATGAATGAATGAATGAATGAATGAATGAATGAATGAATGAATGAATGAATGAATGAATGGATGAATGAATGAATAAATGAATAAATAAATAAATAAATCTGTTCCATCCCATAGTCAACATGCCTCTCAGAATGCAATGGACACAGATGGAAAAATGATCTCTATGGGGATTTGGACCTATGCACACTGAGCCGCATACAGTATGTGTGCACATGTATCAAGCTAAGCTTTTTGTCATACAGCATTGTTTGGACCTATGCACACTGAGCCGCATATGTGTGCACATATATCAAGCTAAGCTTTTTGTCATACAGCATACACTGATTGCCAGCTCTTTTCCAAATGCATTTCTGGGCTCTTGTTTTTACCTTTAAAGCCCTATGCAACTTGGAATGAATGTCCTTGAACTAGTACTTGGAAGGTTACTTTTAAGAAGGATGAATATAATGACATCATGAAGCCAGTTCATAGCAAAGCAATGGCAAGAAGAATTCTTTGCTTGGTTTTGTCCCTTCCTGGCTCTTTACCTTGCCTTTAGTCCAGTGTTTGCTTGTTATGTGGCATCAAGTGACTTATAGTGACCCTATTAAAGTTTTCAAGATACATTAGCTATTTAAGGAGTGGTTATATTAGTGTCATTCCCACCCTAGTGAGTTTCCATGACTGAGCATGGATCTCCTGAGTCCTATTCCATCACTCTATCCTCTAAACCAGTGGTCCCCAGCCTTGGGCCTCCAGATGTTCTTGGACTACTACTCCCAGAAGCCTTCACCACCACCTCTGCTGACCAGGATTTCTGGGAGTTGAAGTCCAAGAACATCTGGAAGCCCAAGTTGGGGACCACTGCTCTAAACCACATTGGGCATGGTACTCTTGTTTTAATTCTGCATCTTATTTCTGTAAAAAATATTTGCTTTTATTCTTCATTAGATACTTTGAGGAACTCCATTTTGGAAAGGAAAAGAGAAATATACAGAAAGCTAGGCAGAGCACGGCCCAGCTAGGCCACATAGCCTTCCAGCTTTCTTCCAGGTGGGCCACATTTAAGGCTATATCTGTCAGATGGAATTCCCAAAATGGAGAATAATAGGATTTGTAGTCCAAAAAAATTCCAAAAATCTCATGCCTAATGAACAATAGAAATAAGTGTCATTTCCAAAGCATAGACATAAGCTACCAAAAACCAAGTAGGAAGAAGTGAGCTACAGTTAAAGACAGTCTGGCAGGATGCATCCCGAAGTTTCAAGGATGGATTTCTCTACAGGAATGAGGATCTAGAGCATCTGCCTTAACAGATCCCTCATTGTTATCTGTTACAAAGGTGCGGGGTGTCTTCTAGACCACTGGTTCTTAACCTTGGGTTACTCAGGAGTTTTGGACTGCAACTCTCAGAAGCCTTCACCACCAACTGTGCTGGCTGGGGTTTCTGGGTGTTGCAGTTCAAAAACATCCGAGTAACAAAGGGTGTCTTCTAGACCAGGGAAATGCCAACACGTTTTAGCTTAAAGCTCTTGGCACTATTAGCCAAGATCTCATCCTTTTGAAATTGGAAGTCTGGGAAATCACAAATCAGCGGTGTTATGACAAAGCAAGTGTGACTATCTGGGGAGCCCTAGAGGGCCAGATTGGGATCCCAGGAGGGCTCAATTTGGCCTTAAGGCCTAAGGTTCTCAACAGCTGTTCTACTACCAGACAGATGATTTATAACATCACAAATTAAGTTGTTCATGCAGCGGCTTTGGATTGTGCCATTTCCTTCATTCCACCATAAACTACACCATCTAAATCCTCCCTTTTCTGTTTCTCGGTTCACCTACTGACATGTTAAAGTTTTGTGTGCAAGTGGACAATCATGGTGATTCAAATTAACCTTCACATCATGGCCATAGTGTGTCGAACAGATGCTGTAGCAAACCATCCAGTACTTGGTACAATACCTTCAATTTTTTTCCCGTTTGTTTTTCCTTGTCAGCCTCTTAGAAGCAGATAGTATACAGACAATAGCATATCTCTGTTTTGGAATAATTTACCTAAGCTAGTACTGATGAAATAATTACATTGGCTCCTGGGTAGAAATGCTGATTTGGGGATGATTTTGATTACTCATTGTGATCATAGCCATCCCAAAGTCCTTAATTGCCTTTATGTCATCCTGGGCTTCTTTGGTTCTCATTTATTTTGTTAGTTAGATTTAATGCCCATCTTTCTTCCAGTGAGCTCAAGACTATGTGCACAGCTCCCCTCCCCCAATTGTATCCTCAAGTTAGCCCTGTGAGGTAGGTCAGGGTGAGAGACAGTGACTGGCCAAAGATCACCTAGTTTCATGGCTAAGCGAGGATATGGATCTAGGTCTTCTGTGTTATAGCCTGGTCCTGCCCCACACTGGCCTCCCCTGGGATTTAGGAAGAAAACAATTCATACCTGAAATGCAAGTCCTTAAACGAAAACTGAGTCTCAATAATCCCTGTTGTCTTGACTCTGGAACGAAGGACATCTTGCTCATTTGGGACATAGCCAGGAGCAGTTAACCTGTCCAGGTCATTCAGATAGCTGCAGAAACCAGGCAGAGATAAAGGAAGAGACTAAGCATGGCATTCCTGCCACTATTTTGCAAGACAGAAACAGGGGTGTACCTGGGCTGAGTGGGTAAGCTTGAGGCAAAGTCTGGCAGTGAGAAGTAGACAATGACGACAATGGAAGGCCAAAACAACTGAGGCCAAACCCACAGCATGAGAAAATCTAAAGGCCTCTCTCTTCCCCACTGTTGGGTCCTGATCCCAATTGGCCCCTCTGCACTGGATAGTTCTGAAAAAGCAGCCAAACGCTAATTAAAGGATTTGTGCTCAAAGTCATTGGATTCTCAAATACAGATGGAGCATTGTGTAAAGCAATAGGCATTTAGCTACATCTAGCATGTGGGGGACTATGGAATTAAGTTGTAAACTTATCACTTACTATGCAGCCGAGTCATTGAGTTGATATTCTGATGCTCTTTCAAAACAGGCCTGGATCCCCGGGTCCTTCCACAATCGTTTGATTATGCTAGCCAGCTCAGGAGGCATTGTGCCATCTTCCATGGATTCTGTGATTGCAAAAAGCTGCCTTTCATCTTCCTGAGAACGAAATTTACATTTGTTTTCTTCTAAAATTCTGTGCAGTCCATTGCACGGTATATATAACTTGCAATTGGTGCTTAATTAACTTTACACAATTATCATCATCTGTGTTATTAGAAAAATATATACACGTTTCTATTATCATCTGCAGATCTTGGAACCTAATAATTTAGGACTTTGGAATACAAATCAGGCTAAATCCACAAGAAACAGATAATAAACATCACATGGGAATGCATAACACAGACATAAAATTTAATGGCCTGTTTCATAATGACCTCCAGGCCAAATACAATCTGGGATTTCTGCAGTCAAAACCTACTCATGACTTTGATTGCAGATTTTTATCTGTGTCCTCTTTTTTTCAATTACACTGATAAATTATTTCATTCATTCATTCATTCATTCATTCGTTGATTGTTCGCTAATTCATTCGTTCATTTTTATTTTTATTTTCTTGTTCCTCTTCAAATTCAGAGCTATGCAGAGTATTAAAAAACATAAAAAACAGTACCTGATCATTAAAACACTCTTACAATAAATTACAGGCAGCAACAAAGACAAGTGTTGCACGTTTGTTTAAAGTATATACAAGTATATATAATGGACAATGCTGTTGGGGTGCCCTACAGACACAAAAGCAATATAGCAGGTCACAGTTTTTACAGTAAAAACAAATAAAGCAAGCCCCAAATTGTCAAAATGTTAAAATTGGAAAGATTCACTGATGGAATCTTGGCAAATCTTTGGGTCTGAGTCCCACGTTTGAGTCCAAGTCTTTGGTAACAAGTCCCAAGCCCCAAGCCTGATTCCCTATTAAATCAAGCTTTTTTACCCAAGAAAAAAAAGGAAGGAGCAGGTGGGTTCTGAGTCGCAAGTCAGGTCCGAGTCATTGGGAAAAAAAATGAGTGAGCCCAAGTCAAGTCATAGGTGGGACTTAATTCTGAGTTGACAGCAAGTCCCATGATTCAAGTCTCTATCCTTGAATATGACAAAAATCAGAATGAACCAAACCAAAGCTTTAGCAGCCAAGAAATAAAACTAAATGACAGTCAGACATCATCCTTTGCAGGATGAACACAGGGTGAGAGGAAAATAACCTCCTTTGCAGGCAGAGGATTCCATGTATGGGTTTCTACCACCAAGAAATCCATCTCAAATGTTGTCACAAACTATACTTCTGAAGGCAATAGTGCTCAATGTTACCATTGATTTCCTTTACCTCTATGCCATCTTTCTTCCAGAAATGGGACTCAAGGCAGCTTACAAATAAATTTAGAAACAGAAGAAAACAAAACATGAATGCTAAAGTGGAATTAAGTTCATCATGCAATTAAAATTGTAAAACTCATAGCATCACTGAATTAAAAATATTAATATTCACTTTCTTTAATAACACAAAAACACGTGAAAACAGCATGTCAGTTCAGATGTTATGATTTGAGGCTGTTAACACACACACACACACACACACACACACAGAGAGAGAATATATATCTATATATATGATGCAGTATAAAAATGCAGTACGTAAATAAATAGATAAATAAATAAATAGGCAAAGGCTTGCCTGAATAAAAAGATATTAGTTTGTTGTTGGAAGGAGGGTGGGGGTAAGGAGGGGATGAGCCTCTCTTGGCAAGGAGTTCCAAAGCCCAGGTGCAACAACTGAGAAGACCCTCTCTTGAATCCCCACCAAATGGGCCGCTGAATGTGGTGGGGCCCCACATTCTCGAAGCCGGGATGGTCTTTATGGAAACATACTCTCCCAGATACCACCAAGTTCAAACCACAGAGTTCATAGCCAGGACCATGTAGTCCAAATCTTTCCTAATCTTTGCTAAGCAAGCTTGAATCTAGAAATTGGGACATTTAGAAAACCCCAGCACCCTATGCCAGCACTAGCTCAGCCATTTTCAATATGGAGCCAATAATGTTGCTTTATTCATTTGATAACATCAGTGTGGGCGTCCTTGAAAGGCCTGAAAGACCTCTGATAATGCACCTCTCAGTCGTCACATTTTTTTAAATCAGTCATCAGTTGCATCATCCATTTGGACCATTTTCAGGAGACATGCCTTTTTTCTGATGGCTAGAGGCCCTTCCCTCCTCCCAAATATACCATAGAAATAACTGGAGAAGCCCTAGGTTGGTGACGTCAGGCCTGAAAACGAGGGAGCTGGGTAGCTGGTAGCCACAACGTGGCTCCTGGTTGGGGAGGGGTCATATGCAAACCCCACTCTCCCACAGACCACATTCTGCCCACCTCCTGTTGTAAGGCCTACAGGAGAAAAGTATGAGACTTTGACTAAAGACCATTCTGGGGAAAATAGGAAAGAACTTCCCTGTTTGTTGACACCTTTAGCTACAACTGCAGATGTATTTGCTACCTTTGTGAGACCAAGGCGCTGGTAATTTACAGTGATAAAATGTTGACTTTGGAGCAAGAAATCCCAGGGAGAGATAACTTTCTGCAATTCTGTTTTAAAATATCTCAACAGCATTGTGCAGAACTGGAGGTTGTAATAAAGGAGATAAACTGTAGGTAAAAATGACAGGTAACATCCAGGCATTGACCTTTGAGATAAGTCATATTTGGATCATCTCATGAATATACGAGAACTCAGAGTCTGTGGAAAATGGAGCCTTGCCTTCTACGCCCATTTGTGGTGGACTCTGCCCTCTCAGTTCCCAGCCTCTCCACAGTGGGCAGGGAGAAAGAAGTGTTTGACTAAACATTCACTTGAACTTTCTAAACAACCTTCAAACCAAATACAATATATTCTCATGTTGATATAGCAAGATCAGAGACTAAGAGGACAGATATTGGTACATTTATGCAGATAGAGAATGGGACAACATGCGAAGCCCTCCCTGTACAGTTTACCAAATGTGATGCTCCAGGTGTTGTTGGATCTCACCACCCATCATGCATGCTGATGGGAACTGCAGTTCAACAATTTGTGGTGGGCCACGAACTCTGCATGCTCCCTTCCCTATGCAGGTCCAACTGAATGCCTAAAGACAGTTTAGCGAATGTATCTAAAAACGCACTTCCACCATTTCTCATGAAGTATATAACCATTTACACAGCGATACTGTACATATTTATTCATGGGTACCCTGTGTAGTGTGATGGACCAGAACTCTGGAGACCAGGGTTCAAATCTCCTCTCAGCCATGGAATCTCACTGGGGGATTGGAACTAGTAAAACCACTCCTTAAATACCTCACTTACCTTGAAACCTCTATCAGGGTTACTACAAGTCGGTGCCAACTGAACATAACTAACAAACTGAAGTCACACTGAATGTTAGCTATAAGAACCAGAGACCTTCCAAAGCAAATCCTTCTTGTCCATTTTTTATTCCTTTTTGATTGGCCTTAAAAAAAAGTATCACCCAAGTATAGATCCTGATAAATCAGACCGGAATAATTTTTTGTTGGGAAACACAATGCTGCTTTGAGACTCTGGTGGTTTCCTCATGGTCACAAGTGCACTAATTAGAACTGACAGGGGTTGCCCCAGAAGTGTACCAAACAAGTAGCCCTAGGCCAAGTTTGATAGAGGCTGCTGCCAATCTTGGTATACACAGATTTGATTGTGACATCACTTCAATGAATTCAAAGAAAGAACTGGAGCCATATAACCATATGAGTTAGAGTGTTTTTTTTTTAAATGTTGCTCTGGAACAGTTCAGAGCATAGAAGAACAGTAACAAACATAAATAGAGTTAGCTGAGTTAGGTTTTGTGAGGAACTTTCTTAAAATTTTATTTCAATTCAACTCATGCAAGCCAAGGTGGCAGGTAATCTGTTTGCCCTTCCCCATCTAAGCATTTCATGTCCAGAGAATGGGAGAGGAGAATGAAGAGGAAATCGTAATGTATGAAATTAGGGAGAGAGCAAGAACAGTCCATCAGCACTCAGCTTCTTTTTAGTAGGCATGAGAACTCACATGGAACATCAGCCAGCCCTTCAGGTGTAATGGCTTCAGCCATCTGCTTATGTAGAAAATCTCTTTCTATGATCAGTCTCCCTCATCTCGCAGGCTTGATCCAATATTCTACTGGGGGTGTCTGGGATTTGAGAGATTTTTATGCATTTCCCTCAGAAATGTTATCTCTCTTGTGTTTGATATGCAGCTTATGTGTAAACGTATTCTTAACAATGGTTGTTAGAAGAGCTGGATGCCCCCATTCTTTTTAAATTGCACCCTTATGGATTGAGTGAGGAACAAAGTCATTTTTAGAGCACAAGTTTTCTGGCCATCACAGAAACTGTAATCCCAAATATTCAGAGCTGTAGAGGCAGCCCAGCTAGAAGGTGGATGGATCTCTTAGGGGTTACAATAAAAGAGTGGCAACTTGTTATTTAATTTGATATTTTCAAATAAAATTAGGGAAAGAGCAAGAAGCCACTTCACATATTCAAGGGCTCCTCTTTAACATCACGTCATAACAGTCTACCAGGGCTCCCAGGAATTTTCAAGTAAGCAAACAGCTGGTAGACATTTGACAATCATTAGCCTTCTACTAGATTAGGTGTTGGCACAACTTCAGTGCCCAGTATTATTGCTACCTGATAGGAGAAGGAGACATTATTGGGCAGAATGACAGCTATATACACTTCAGTGATACTTCAGTGAAGTAAATTGACTTGTGATCAGGGCCAGCGCTGTCTCAGGCAGTAGATTTGGGAAAGCACAGATGCATATAGTATAGTTTAGAAACTTCCTCCTGAGACACCCACCCATTCTCCTCTGGTGGAAGACAAATAGACCTGTCAGTACCTCATGGATGCCCCATTCCCTTCAATTGCTGCTTTTTGACATGGTGAGGGATATTATTCAGCTTGTTTGGGTGTCCAGATTAGCAAGGTTGCTTCTGAGCATGTGCAGAGTGTGAGCAGCAGCAGGGGGATTCCACAGCCGGGCCAGGGTGGGTTCAAGTAATTAATAATTAATCAAGATTATAGGGTAATAATTGTACAATTGGCTGTTTAAATAATGTTTTTGATGTTTTTTTGGGGGGGAAGCCTCCATTGAATTTATTTTTATTTTGTAACATAACTGTTTCTTGGTCAGTTCACTAAGAGACATTTCATGGCAACTATTGTAATAAAATTGTATTGATTGCGGGTTTAATCCGGAATGATTCAGATGAAACATTCAATACATCCTCCTGTGTCTTTTTTTTTTTTTTTTGGTCTTTCTATGTCCTCCTTTTGGTACCCATGTATCTGGCAACCCTACCTGTATGTAACCTGAACAAGCATACAGTTCTGAGCTTCTGTGATCAAGATTCAAAATGGATGACATGAAGTACTGATAACAAGTATGAGAGAGTGTTTCTTGTGAAAGGCACCACACTCACCTTGCTTTCTGAGTTCCCATATTCAATACCCAGTGTGGACATTGCTTTTACAATAGCCAGAATGGATTGCAGTGTGTTGCTGTAAACCACAGATCTAAACTCTCTGCATTCCTGATCAGTGTAGCCATCTTTATGAATGATCCTAAAAAGCAATAAGAAAGCCTGAAGTAAGAACAGGAACAGCCAACACTTACCTAAGGCTTTGATTACACAGGCAAAAGAAACCCATTTTAAATCACATGTATGTTCAAATGAGTCAACCTTTGAAAGAGTGTTTCCATTACAGAAATGTAAGCTTGAATTACTTTGGCGGGGAAGCATGTTTCATAGTGTAATGCAAGCTAAAACACTGTTCTGCTAGAGGGTTGTTTAAAATAGTGCGCACATGAAACTCAGATTATTTTATTCATTTCTACATATGTACACCCCTGTCGTTGCACATTGTGCCTTGGGATAAACAGCAGAAGAGGTGGGAGAAGCAGCAGGAAGGAAGGAGGGAAAGAAGGTAGGTGCGCTTGTAAAGTTGTTTGTAAAAAGCTTGACTGCCTCTGTCTCTTTCAGAATGCTTTTGATGGTGTCTGGGAGGCAGAGAGAAGAGGAGGACTCCGATCAGCAGGCAGCGGCCATGGGTGATGAAGGCGGCTAAGGTGGCTGCTGCTGTGTCCTGGAGCATTTCTGCATGGGAAATGTTTGTGTTTGCTTTTCATGTGTGCTAGGTCCACGTAATGAGACACAGCAGGTTAGTAGCCATGGAGGCAGAGGGGAACAGGCGCTCTGAATGAAACCGCATCCCTTTTGCAAGCTCCAGTTGCCACGAATCCTCCACTCCTTGAAACAAAGAAAGGTGAAAACTGAAGCCAAGCATTTTCCCCATGCTTCTCATGTGTATGTATGCACACGTGTGTGTGTGTGTGTGTGTGTGTGTGTGTGTGTGTCCAGAAGAGGGCAATCCAGAGAGACTAGCAGAGATCAAAACCAAGTCCTACCAGACAACTTGTCAGTTCCAACAGGGGATTCCATGGTTGGCATTAAAACAGTCCAAAGCCTATGCCAGCAGAACAGAACCATAACATGACAAAGAGTAGATCTCTTGAGAGAGGGAGAAGACAAGAAAGTGGACCCTCTCTGTGGTTGCTCCGAGAAAGAGAGAGAGAGAAATAGAGAGACGGTGAAGGGGAGGAATAGAGAGAGAAAAAGGTGTGTGTGGGAGAAGCACATCCAAACCAGAATGCGCAATAGGATGCACCCCCCCCTACCATAAAGGCAGAAAGTAGGGAGATGAAGGGCAAGTAAGCTGACTTGAGAGGCAAGGATTTATTACTGACCTGGGTCAATGCTCTTTTTTTGGTGGTGGTGGCGGGGAAGAGAACCAAACACACAAGTCCACACAGGGACTGCTGTTGCTGGCTGTCTCCCAGTTGGGAACACAAATCATTACGTGATTTTACATTGAATCCATTTAGAGTGGAGCTAATTGAGGGGTAAATGTAAACCCCAGCTGGATGTGGGCATGTAATTGCAGTCCATGCCTGGTGACCCCAACACAAGGGGCGTTCACAAGACTCTGCCATATCTACAGCCAACGTATATTCAGGATGGTAGGCTTGTTTCAAACACCTCCTGGCCTGCACCTCCAGTCAGAGCTTGGAAGGCATTACTTTTTAAGACTATGGTCCCCAGAAACCTTGTTGTCCAGTGGGCATATTAGTTGGTGTTGCTGTACTCATTTTTTAAAAAACAAAACCATCTTCCCAGGCTCTGCGAAGGGGAAATGTTGTGAACACTAGCTTGCTGACAGAGGTTTTATGTGGACAAATAGGTAAAATCCCATTCATTTCTTAAACCATGTACAAACCACTTTTCCCCACCCTCTAAGGACCCTCCTTTTAAAACCAGGAGAAGGACAGGCACATTTGTGTCTATTCTCCACAGTGGATAGAGAATGAACAAAATGCCAGGATATGCATTAATATACAAAATAACACACTAGAAGATCCTTTCATCAAGAAAATGTCATATTAGCTTTTCTGAATTAATGCCCTAACTATTCAATACACCTTTTGACAACAGGCCAAAATCTGCAGTACATTTAAGGGAAAGTGTTTTTGTTTATTTGGCGCATCTCAAACCTTATCTTTCTCTTTATCTTAAAAACAAATCTTGAAATTGAATGGACAAGGACATTCCCACATTAAACCCTTGGACAAAACAGCTGGTTCCTAACTGGGAATCCATCACTACTATTTTTATCTTGATTTGCATTTTGGGATTGAAATGTTGGCTTGTCTGTTCACCCCACTCCTTTTACAATGTAGTTTACACAGCATGTTTGCTGTACCTGACAGCCTGTGAATATGGATGTACCTACTTCATTTGTTTCACGATAGTGCTCTTCCCTGATTCTCCAGCTCCTGAAAACAAAGAACAGGCATAATTATGATAGATGCCATGATAATATGGGTCATATCACTGAAGCAGAACCAAATGAGAAAAAGAATAGGAAAGAATGTAATGGAGGGATGAAGCACAAACACATATCCAAAAGGGATATATCATGGGGAGAGGGGGAAAACATTTACTAATCTCAGTGAAGTTTGTCAAGCCTAATATGTGGAAAAAGTTATTCTAGGTAATGATCTCGTCTTCTACTCATGCAATCAAGGAAATAAGATGAATAAGGCATTTTTAATGTGCATTTACAGAAGAGATTTCAATAAGTATTAACATTTAGAAATAAGGGATTAAGGGAGCAACTATACATCACATACAAAAACATGGAAAGAAGGCCCAACGGCTGTTTTATTTAAAAAACATGAAAAGTACTATTAGGAATCACTGGTACCATTCCAGGTTGGTTTAGCCATGTACAAGGAGAAACATGTAGAGTGGAATAGCTTGAAGGGCAAGATTTAGGCAATGAGCAGAAAAAAAGTTGTTTATTTGTTTATTTATTTATTTATTTGAAAGCTGCCTGGTTTTCATTACTTGAATTTGCAGGTAGCCTGTAATTTGCCTGCCCAAATTCAAGCATATGGAAAACATTCCCTAAAACCCATCATGTAAGAGAGAGAAACCACAGCAGACATACTAAGTGATCATGCAAAGTTGATTGAAACAGCAGTGTGCTAACGCCATATAAATGATGGCAACATTAGCTTTTGCATTTAAGACTTGCAAATTCAAAGGTACTCTCCAGGAACAACTGAACGCTTTTCTGATCAAGCCAGAACCAGTCATAAATGTCTTTGGATACACTGTTTTTATTATGGCCCTCTGAGAATCACAGATGCAAAATACAAGGAAGGTTGAAGAATCAGAGTAAAAATAATAACCAAATGAGTCTCTGTTCATTGCATCTGAAAGGCAAACCTAAATTGCAGGAAGGATTAGGCTAGTCATTTACAAATTGTATGTCCAAGCACAGGAAATGTGCTGTGAGAGTTTTGTTCACATGCAGTGAGCAATAAATCATTAAATAATTCAAATCTTCCATAGGGCCAAAGTATGCACCTACCAAAAAAATTGTTTGCTGTTTCTTTCAATGATTCACACCTTTGGCCTAACCACAGAGGGTCAGGAAGCAAAGGAGACAAAAGTGTCACAGCAGATTTAATGCTAGAGCCTTCCAGAATGATGAACAAACACATCAATTTAGTTTCTCTAGCCTCTCAATTTTCCAAGCTTCCACAGATGTCTTCCTGTTCCCATTAATTTCACAGAATCATAGAATAATCGAGTTATGAGGGGCCTATAAACCACGGAGTCTAATTCTCTATTCAATGCAGGTATCCAAATCAAAGTATATCTGCCAGATGGCTGTCTTAATTTTCTTATGAATACCTCCAGCATTGGAGAGTTCATCACTTCCTCAAGTAATTGGTTCTATTGTCATACTGCTGTAACACTTAGGAAGTTTTTCCTGATATTCAGCCAAACTCTTACTTCCTGTAACTCAAGGAGACATTTATTAGGCCCATCAGGAAGAAACCAAGTTTGGCGGCAGACAACATTGGCAACTATAGGCGTGTCGCCAAAGTTTCCTTCCTTAAAGTGGTAGAGAGGGTGGTGGCTGACCAGCTCCAGGTCCTTTCAGATGAAACCAATGCCCTGGATCTGGGCTTCAGGCTGTGCCGCGGCACGGAAATGTTTGATGACCTGTTGAGGGAGGCCAACACATTTACAATTTGTAAATGATGACCTGTTGAGGGAGGCCAACAGGGGCAAAACATCTCTGTTGGTCCTTCTCGATATCTCAGCCACCTTTAATACCGCTGACCATGGTATCTTCCTGGAGAGGCTCTCCAAGTTGGGAATCGGTGGTCTGGTGCTTGCCTGGCTCCGATCCTTCTTCAAGGACCGTCCTCAGAGAGAATAGCTTGGAGAGAGTGTATCGGCTCCATAGAGTCTCAATTGTGGGGCTCCACAGGCTCGATTATCTCCCCAATGCTGTTTAATATCTATATGAGGCTGCTGGGTGGGGTCATCAGAGGGTGTGGGGCTTTGTGTCATCAGTATGCTGATGACACCCATCCCTACATCTTTTTTTCCAACAACAGTGGATGCCGTTCTGTCCCTTCAGCACTACCTGGAGCCTGTACTGCAATGGATGCAGGAGAATGGACTGAGGCTGAAATCGGACGAGACAGAGGTCCTGAGGGTGGGTGGTCCTGAGGGTGGGTGGTCCTTCCATTGGTGGTTTGGGAAACTCCCTCTCTTTTGGGGGAGTGACTCTCACTGCGACGAGTGAGATTCGCAGCTTGGGGGTCCATCTGGATCTGGGACTTACCATGGAAACCCAGGTGGCGTCAGTGATCCACTCCACCTATTTCCATCTCTGGCAGATTGCCCAGCTGTGCCGCTATCTTGATGTTGGGGTGCTCACCACTCTGGCCCATGTGCTTGTAATCTTGAGATTAGACCACTGTAATGCGCTCTATGTGGGGCTACCTTTGAGATTGATGCAGAAGCTTCAAATGGTGCAGAATGCGTCGGCCAGCCTTCTTACTGCATATACTGTTGTATGGGTATATTGTGTATATACTTACAATGACAATTAATAATAATAATAATAATAATAATAATAATAATAATAATAATAATAATAATAATAATAATAATAATAATAATAATTATAATTATTATTATTATTATTATTATTATTATTATTATTATTATTATTATTATTATTATTATTATTATTATTATTATTATTATTATTATTATTATTATTATTATTATTATTATTATTATTATTATTATTATTATTATTATTATTATTATTATTATTATTATTATTATTATTATTATTATTATTATTATTATTATTATTATTATTATTATTATTATTATTATTATTATTATTATTATTATTATTATTATTATTATTATTATTATTATTATTATTATTATTATTATTATTATTATTATTATTATTATTATTATTATTATTATTATTATTATTATTATTATTATTATTATTATTATTATTATTATTATTATTATTATTATTATTATTATTATTATTATTATTATTATTATTATTATTATTATTATTATTATTATTATTATTATTATTATTATTATTATTATTATTATTATTATTATTATTATTATTATTATTATTATTATTATTATTATTATTATTATTATTATTATTATTATTATTATTATTATTATTATTATTATTATTATTATTATTATTATTATTATTATTATTATTATTATTATTATTATTATTATTATTATTATTATTATTATTATTATTATTATTATTATTATTATTATTATTATTATTATTATTATTATTATTATTATTATTATTATTATTATTATTATTATTATTATTATTATTATTATTATTATTATTATTATTATTATTATTATTATTATTATTATTATTATTATTATTATTATTATTATTATTATTATTATTATTATTATTATTATTATTATTATTATTATTATTATTATTATTATTATTATTATTATTATTATTATTATTATTATTATTATTATTATTATTATTATTATTATTATTATTATTATTATTATTATTATTATTATTATTATTATTATTATTATTATTATTATTATTATTATTATTATTATTATTATTATTATTATTATTATTATTATTATTATTATTATTATTATTATTATTATTATTATTATTATTATTATTATTATTATTATTATTATTATTATTATTATTATTATTATTATTATTATTATTATTATTATTATTATTATTATTATTATTATTATTATTATTATTATTATTATTATTATTATTATTATTATTATTATTATTATTATTATTATTATTATTATTATTATTATTATTATTATTATTATTATTATTATTATTATTATTATTATTATTATTATTATTCATGCTCCATGATTTCAACAAAATAATAGACAGTGGTTCTGAGAGGTCTTTAACTAGTTCTTTCAATACTATCATATACAGTTCATTGGTACCTGGAGATCTGAAGATGTCCAAAATATTTGGGTATTCCTTGACTATTTGTTTATCAATCTCAAGCTGCAATCCTGTCCCCTCCACTTGTACTTCACATTTGCCTGGAGGGTCATAAACTGTCTTTTGAGAAAAGCCTAAGTAGGAATTGAGCACTTCTCCCTTTTCTTTGTTGCCTGTAATCATTTTCACATCACCATTAAGTAGCTGAGCCAGTATTTCTTTTCTGTCTTTTGCTATACACATACCTAAAGAATGTTTTTTTGTTGCTTGTACATCCCATGATTACTTCAGCTCATTCTCAGTTTTTGCCTTCCTAACACCACCCCTGCAATTCTCTGTACTCTTCCTTTGTACCCTGGGTTTTCTTGTACTTTCTATATGTGTCTTTTTGTTATTATTATTATTTAAAAGTTCTCTGAGCTTTCTGTGAAGCCAAATTGGACTTTTTTTTTGCTCTGTTCCACTTTTTTTTTCTTGTTGGGATTGCTTGTAGTTCTGCCTTTAGAATTTCCTTTTTAAGAAACTCCCACCTGTCTTGAACTCTTTCTCCTGTTAGGATCTCCTACCTTACCATTGTTCTGAGTTTAT